GGCCGTCATGAGACCAAGCAGAGAAGGCAGCTGCAAGAAAATGCCTGCCTGTCTGCCCTCCTTGGTCACCATGATGCCAAGCGCATGTATATGTATTTGACTCTACAACATCAATCATGCATTGAGAGTTGGAATAAATCCTTCAGCCTAAATATATGCCATGTTCAAAACTTGCTCTCTTCTTTCTCACTTGATCTACTTGTTTTCTTTTAATCTCCTGAGACTATTAAAAATAATGGTCATAATAATGAAAATAAAGAGTGCAACAAAGGTATAAAGTATATATATATATATAATATCTCTCCACCTCAGAAAACACAACACACAGGCACAGCCGTATGAAGATAAGAGCGTGAGGAAGGGCAGAGAAAAAAAATTAGAAATTAAAAATAAAAGAAAAAAAAATAAAAACTAATATCAAGAAAAAAATAAAGATATATATCTCTCTCCATCAAACAATCGTAACTTCATAGATACATCTAAATCATCTCTCTCTAACTCTGTACAATCTCTACATCCCCTATGTGCCGGTCCATGCTCTCGCGCGACTCTCGAAGACATGCCTGCCCGTTCCAAATGGCCATCCTACACTCCCTTTCACCGTTCTCCTCATCAAGACGAATAGGCTCTGCTCCCCTACCTTGAATTACAGATCTACCCTGCCGTCTCTCCTCTCAGATTATCACGTTCTCTCATATACATCATACTAATTCTCGTATCTCTCGTCCGTCTCTATATCTCTCTCTCGTCTCTTCATCTAATATAACAAATCTTACTCGTCTCTCCCTATATCTAGGGTCGATATCGCTCTCACTCAGATAGTCATACTCTACTCATCTCATGAACTCTCTTTAACCTATCTAACAATCAATAGAAATCTTATCTCTCTCCCTCGTCTATTCCTTATCATACTCTCATCAGACATCTATCTATCATCCATATATCTCTCTCCCTGCATATCTCATCTATCTCTTCTCCTCTTCCCTCTCTTCTATCTCTTCTCGTCTCCGTTATCATTACCTCCTGCTCGTATATCTATCTATATCTCTCATACATTATATAGTATATACATTATATATTAGTATATATATATTATATTATATATATAGTATAGATATAGTATATATATATATACGTACTGTTATGTATCATATATATAGTATATATAGTATTAATGTGACATACTATAGCATATATGACTATATATATAATTTGTATATATAATAGTCAATTAGTATATATATATAATATATGGTATAATGATGCATGATATAACTCAGTATATTATTATCATTCATATAAGTATATCGGAATATATAATATTTATTAATATATATATATTATATATATACTAGTTATTGATATAATATGTAATGACATATTTATATATATATGTTATATAATATATATTAGGTATATTATCAGTTATATAATACTATACATTATTTTATATATAGTATATTGATAATAATATATATTGATATATATATATATATATATATACATTATATTAATTAATATTATGTTATATATATATATATATAGTAATAGGTTAGTCTATATATATATATATGATAATGTATATACATTAATCTATAAGTATATATTATTATATTATATATGAAACTACTATATATATAATATATGCTGTAATATACTACTATATATACCTATATATGTTATTACTACAATATTGATTATATATGCATTATAAAAAAATATATATATAATCACATTACACATTATATATTATATATATAAATAATATATATACGATTATATATGGTCAGGTACTATATATATTATTTATTATATATATAGGTATATATATAGTATATATTAGTATTATATATGGTATATTATTATGATATTGAAATATATATATACATATATTATGTTAGAATGTAGCTATATCTATATTATATATGATGAGTATAGGTAATACGGTCATTTAGATTGGATATATAAATAGCTATATATTATCTGATATAATATTATAGTATATGAATCACTTATATATAATATTATATATACGTATAGTATATATAATGTATATTAATAGAAATATTATATTATATTATATAACTATATAGTATGATATAGTAGGCTATGTTACTGTGTTATTATAGTGTATATTACATATGATTTATATATATTATATTAATATAGTATGATGATACTATATATATACATATATAGGTTTATAATTATATTATTATCATGGGAGTATAATAGTATTATTATATATATGTATATATATATTTATATAACTTAGTTATATATATATATATGTAGTGTTGTTGGAAGATGGTTGATATTGATATATGAAATTATTCACTCACTACGCTAGAATTATAATGGATCATATATGCGTGTATATTTATCATATTATATGTATATATATATATACTATTATGATACACATCATATATACATATATATTAATGATATATGATTATATATTATATACAACTATATAATCATATATATATAAATATAGTAATTTATAGTACTCACTCACACTCAAATATCATTATAATAATCATATATATAATATGAAATACATCATATATACATATATATTATAACGCATACCATATATTGTATAGTTAGAATGATTTAGATATTAGTATAGTAGTATATGTATATAAAGAATATATAGATATAATAGATGATATTTTATATATGATAATCATAATTATCGATTCGCATAATTAGTATAGTGGCGATAGTATGTAGTATATAGGTTAATGTATATGGAATTAGATTAGTTATTGAGTTGGTATATCATAAGATTAGGTTGATTATATTATAGGTATGGTTCGTAGGGTTTGATATGTAGTATGATTATATACTATATAAATATCGATATAAGTATAATATAATTATATATGGTATATATAGGGATACGTCAATGATATAAGGTGTTATGTAGGCAGATATATATAAAATCATATGTATAGTGTAGTCTGATATATATGATATCGGCTATTTAATATATATCATTATATAGTATATTAAATATAGATATAAGTATTGGTTATAGATATTAGATAGATTAGATATCTATTGCTATTATATAGTGATTATATATGCGATAGTCATGTGTAGAATATAATTAAAAAATAAATAAATATATATTGATACATATTTAATAGTTATATATTAGATAGGTATTACGCATATATTCATATCATGAGTATATTGTGTGTTAGTTCAATAGATTAGTGGTGTTTAGTAGTCTAGCGAATATATTAACTATATTCAGGAGAGAGAGAGAGGAGGAGAGAGAGGAGAGAGAGGGAGAGAGAGAGAGGAAGAGAAGATGATAGAGAGAAGAGAGAGAGAGAAGGAGAGAGAGAGAGAGGGAAAGAGAGAGAGAGAGAAGAGAGAGAGAGAGGAGAGAGAGAAAGACGATAGAGAGAAGAGAGAGAGAGAGAGAGAGCGAGAGCGAGAGAGAGAGAGAGAGAGAGAGAGAGAGAGAGAGAGAGACAGAGAGAGAGACAGAGGAGAGACAGAGAGACGCAGAGAAAGAGAGAGAGAGAAGAGAAGAGAGAGAGAGGAGAGAGAGAGAGAGACGAGAGAGAGAAGAGAGAGAGAGAGAGTAAGAGAGAGAGAGAGAGATGAGAGAGAGGGAGAGTAGAAAGAGAGAGAGACGAAGAGAATAGGAGAAGAGAAAGAGAGAGATAAGAGAGAGAGAAGAGAGAAAGAGAGAGAAAGAGAGAAAAGAGAGAGAAGAGAAGAGAAAGAAGAGAAGAGAGGAAAGAGAGAGAGAGAAAGAGAGAAATGAAGGCGAAAGAGGGAAGTGGAAGATGAAGAGAGAAAGGAGAAAGAGAGAAAAGAGAGGGGAGAAAGAGAATAAAAAAAGAAGAACGAGAAAGAGAGAGAAAAAAGAGAGAGAGAAAAAGGAGAGAAGAGAAAAGGAGAGGAAAACAGAGAGAGTAGAGAAAAAGAGAGGAGAGGAAAGGACGGAGAAAGAGAGAGGAGAGAGAGAGAGAGGAGATGAGAAGAGAGAAGAGAAAGGAGAGAGAGAGAGAGAGAAGGAGGAGAGAGAGGAGAGAGAGAGAGAAGAGAGAGGAAGGAGAGAAGAGGAAAGAGAGCCACGCATGTAGGAAAGACCTAGCGTTGTGTTGTGTGGTAGGTTTGGTGTGGGGTTGAGGATTTTGGCGTTTTGGGGTGAGGTGGGGTCGGTGCGCGGCGATGTGACGCTAGTTGTGATGGTTGTAGTGTGTGGGTAGGTGTTGACGTTGTGGGTCATGGAGAGGAGGCCGTGTGGGATAGGCGGGACAAGGAAGGGTGTTGGATGTGCAGCCAGGAGTTATTACGCATAGAGCGTTGCGCTGGAGGTTGGGGTGGATGGGACGCTATAGTTTAGGAGAGAGTAAGAGGAGAGAGAGAATAGAGAGAGGGAGAGAAGAGAGAGAGAGAGAGATGAGAAGAGAGAGAGAGGAGAAAGAGAAGGAGAGAGTAGAGAGAGAGAAAAGACAAAAGGAATAGAGGAAAAGAGAAAAGGAAAGAGACAGACCGACACCCGACGTCACGAGCACAGACACAGACAGAGACAACAGCGATTCATAACAGAGACAAGACGACTCAGCATACGAAGACGAGACAGATTGGACCGAGAGGACGACAGAGCAGATTTGAAGAGACAGAACAGACGCTCCGATTGGTAGCTAGAGACAAAGTCATAGACAGATTGGACAGTGAAGTAGAGACAGAAAGACAGACAGACTTTGACAGAGAGAGTCCAGGACGAGAATAGATCAGACAGATTGAGAGACAGACAGGCGATGTATGAGGCCAGACAGGACGCAGACAGACAGACGTAGATATGAGACGAGACATGACATGACGCAGACAGACAGAGGCATGAGCACGCGGCAGCTAGGCTATAGGCAGCGAGGCAGGAGGCAGAGAACAGAGAGACAGAGAGACAGAGACATGGGAGACAGGCAGGAGGGAATTGATGTCATGATCGGGTAGACAGAGAGTAGAGATGACATAGACAGAGAGAGAGTGACAGGACAAATGAATAAGATCAGAGGAGACGACAAGGACTGAGAACCGTATTCCATCTCGAGTAATCAAATCGTTAGTAAGAGGCATGAATGAGAATGAATGATCTCCTCAACACAGATACAAACATGAGTAAGAATGTATTGACGTCATGCTTCAGGAATATATATTCATCAAATATATAGAGAGTATTTGTCTGATGAAGATGTGGAATTGAGAAGCCGGTCAAGTTAATACAAGACGTTGTTCATAGTATTGGTGAAGTTATGTCTTTTTGCGATTATATTACGTTTCTAAGGCAAAGTGAAACAAATGACCAGGACATTGATGCAGATGGAGGATAGCTCAGATACAGAGGTATAAGCAGACAATAACAGACAATTAGTTGAGCAGTCTAGGAAGACAGATGCAGTAGGGTCAAGAGAGACAGATGAGATCAGACAGACAAGAGAGAGAGAGACAGAGGCAGAGAGACAGACAGAGAGAGATTGATACAGATAGATAGACAGATAGAGAGATAGATACAGATATAAAAACACACATGCACACACATTTCTCCATATGAGACAAACAAGTCCATTCATCCATCCATATGCAGGTGCAAACATACATACACATGCAAATATTTACAAATGGAATGTAACTTAAACAGCCATTCAAATCATAGTGTGACATGTATCTAAGCAAAAGAAAAAAAAAAGAAAAAAAAAAAAACACTAAAGACAACACAGAACATTATTACAACCACAGCAACAACAAATCAACGTTCAGAAACTGGCTTGACCTAACCAAAGGAATGAAAAATCTAACAGAGCTCACTGTCACTCTCACTTTCACTCTTGTAAATACATGGCCTTTTTTTAAATCCCTACTTTGGGGTCCTAACATTCACCTAGTTATGAAAATGAATAAATAAATAAATAAACAATACTTACAACCCTTGCAGCCCTTTCTTGACTCTCACATTTGCGGCAGAACCATGCCCCCGTCGGCACTGTCACTATGCCATAGCAGGCTGAAAGGAAATTTGCTATTATAATTTGAACATACTAATGATAAGATAACAAATAAGTGATGAAAGTAACATTATCATTGTTACTTTTACTATTACCGTTGTTATCATCATCATCATCATCATCATTATTACTATCTATCATCCCTTGGATCCAGATACTTCACTGCCCACATGTGGCACAAAATATGGGCATTAGGCTTAGTTGGTTAGCCACTTTGATGGGTGTGAGGCTTGTGGGTCAGGCATATACAAAACATTCATGTGCAGTGACAAAACTGTATGCCTCCATTTGCAATGTTATTTACTCTTTTTCTGCATCAGCATTTCTTTTTTCTTTTTTTTTATGTCATTATTTGTCATTTGATTTGCTTTATCTACAAGGTAGTAAGCCATTTTTCTTGCACAGACTATAAATCATCCCTATAGTAGTCCATAATGCAGTGCATTAATGATAACAGTAAGTAACATTTAGTTATCTGAGTCACTTATGTAATTTTTTGTAATATTCAATTTTCTGTTCTGTTTCTGATCCAGCATCATCCCTGGAACAGGTGTTCTTCCAGTCATGGCTCATGGACAGTACATTTCACAAAATCAATGGAAATAATGAAGAACAAAAAAATGATAATAATAAAGAAAGAAAAAAAAAAACTTCCTTAATGCCCACTGGGTCAAATCACCCTCCAAGAGCTTTATGCACTCATGGAAGACAATCCTGTCACCCCAGACCTCAGCCAGATTTTCCAATAAAGGCATGGTCAATTCACTTGCCAACAATTTTTTCATGATGTGATGGTCACGTTTCTGGATGGGTTGATGATGATGATGATGATGTGGATGATGATGATGATGATGATGATGATGATGATGATGATGATGATGATGATGATTTTATGGATGATGATGTGTGATTGATGATGATGATGATGATTGATGATGATTGATGATGATTGATGATGCATGATTGGATGATGATGATGTGTGGTGATGTGATTGTGATGTGATGGTGATGATGTGATGATGATGATGATGATGATGATGATGATCACATCTGAAAAAGGCCCCAGAGGCAAGCCCAGTTAGCCACACATAGTACCCAGTAGCCTCAGCTAGGGATAGACAACGAGGTTCCTGGATATACCCCCCAGCTATGGAAAAATGGAAAATGCTTTGGGGTCTAATGGCTTCACCCTCTGATTAGGAAGATTTTAGATTCATATGGCAATCTTTGTGGTAGTTTGTGCATTTAAGATGGGGTTCCTTCATTTACTCGAGTTTAGGCCTTATGGCCAATTTCTTAAAATGCTGGTGTGGGCCCCACAATTCAATCCCAAAGGAATCTCACACTCACAAACCATATTGTTAAACAGCACAGGTAAGCCCCTTCCCTGGTGCCTTCTACGGGAACTGGTTGGTATGCCTGATGCATTCCACGCACTGCTGGTGATGTGCCTAATGCTAGATTACCCTTTATGATCCGGTGATGTGACCATGCCATAATTGGACAAAATGGCCACGGGCCAGGTGACATAAACTTGCCATCATGAGCAAAGGCCAGGGCGATGGAAAAGGACTCACCACAACGTGCACAAGCTCTTGCCTTTGGAGTGTGATTAAACTCGTTTGGCGTTTAGATGGGGGCTTTTACATTATTCCCATAAATAAATGAGTATAGAATGTAATGTGCATAAGCCGTGACTGGAAGAGCACTGGCTCCAGGGAGGATGGCATTTCCAATCTCAGCATTGTATTCCTGGCCATTATGTTATTAATAACATAGAGAGATGATATAAAATTTGTGCAAGAAAAATCATCCATTTCCATCTGGATATAGCAGATCAAAAGACAAATATGAACATCGGAGAATGGCAAAAAAGCTTTAAAAGTTTATTCAAAATAATTTTCAACACTCAAAAATGTTTGCACACACCCGGCCAACACGCAACACGCCCAGCTGATCGTGAAGCATATCCCTGACCCATTTTGCCATGAGCTGATTACCGTGACGCAACTGGACCCAATGGTTGTTTAAATGCAAATTCCAATTTATTGCAAGGTGTTTGTTTTTCTTTCAGGAGAGTCTCAGTGTCATCTTCGTCCGACTATGCGAAGGTCAACGTGTCAATCCCGACTATTGGAAGGTCAAACGTCATTTGTAACTGTCATATTCAGAATCACTCTTAAGAACTTTAATAGTCCAGCAATGTTCAGGGTTACCACAATAAGCAAATATTTTCTTATTAATAAATTAGCCTAGATTGTAAATTCCTAATCTTCAGACTTATGACAACTCTCCTGGCTTTGTATTCTTACTTATCTAACCTTAATGTAATTGAATGGTGCTTATTATATTATTTATAAAATCTGGACAGATACTCAAATTTTGCCACTGGCAGATGTCAACAAACTTAAAATCACCCCAAAGCATATAAAGTGATACAGATAAATAAGGAGACAGACAGATAGATATGTACACAACACACACACACACACACCACACAACCACACACACACACACACACACCACACACTGCACGACAACCACAAAACACACGCACACACACGCACACACCACGCACACACACGCACAACACACGCACAACCGACACACACTGCCACACGGTTACACAGTGAACCTAGGCGCTGGGTGGTATTAAGCGCGCGTTCACCTTTCGACGTTCTTGCTGCTTCACGGGATTTGCATTGTGTTCATTGGTTCTGCTTTTGCTGATTGGTCTGCTAGGAACATGTTCTCCGCTGGTCTTCTCTACGCTTTCGGGTGTAGTGTAATAATCAATAATGTTAACGGGTTATATAATTTACGGAAGTGTGCGGTAAACAGCTGCGCAAATTAGTAGTTTGCAGGCATAATTTTCTCTAAAACCCGATTGAAGCCTTCAGATGTTGGCCTACTGATGAGTCCAATATCTATTAGAGTACGAGTAGTTAGATGTTGTAAAAACGTTTGTGTGCGAGTACTTTGGTAGTGTTGTTTAACGAAATGGGCTTGGGCCTGTAGAAAGGTTTTTGTTCTCTGTTTTTCAATGGTAATTGTTGAGGGTTCTTTTTGTGTCTATATTGTAAAAATGAAAGGTTACTCTTCACCGGATTTCAGCCTATCATGGGTTCTTTTTGGTACGTAACCCACAAAAACGAGGGTTACATGTGGTGTGTAGTGTAGTATAAGTGATATATATATAGTGTATATATTAGGATTTATAGGGGGTAATTTTACAATAATTATATGTTTGTTTATTATATCTATTATATGTATACTTAGTCGTATATAGTATATTCTGCATAGAGGCGTATTTATTTACTTATAGATATATTATATATATTTTATTATATATATATTTAATTTATATATTATAATCTATGTCTAAATAGTTACGTAGTAGTATATTACTGATATTTATATATGTATATCTAGATATAGTGTTAGTAGTTATGGGTATAGTTAATGATCAAATTAGTATAGGAGTTAGATTTGTAGGTTAGGTATGTATTATGATTATATATGTTATATATATATATTTATAGTTATATTTTATTATGAGTTATATGGCTCACTAGGTGTACTCTAGGTATATTGTGATATATATATAAAAAGATAAAGTGGTAGTATTAGTTATAGTTTGTTTATGTTATAGTATGTATTAGGTATAGTTGTGTATGGTATGTATTACATATCGATGACTTTATTACTTATAGTAATACTATTACGATTACTACATAGTACATATATACATACATATATATATATAATACATATATATAAAACTAAATTATATATATTTATATATATATATTATATATTGTATATTGTTTATAAATGTGATAAGTATGTTATATGTACAGTATATTGTACTTTATGCTGTCCGGTCAGGGATACGTATGTACATGTATTGATATATTGTTGTATATATACTCATATAGTTGTATAGCCGTGGGATTATATATGTATATGCGGTATATATATAGTAGTATATATTTATATAGTATTATGTTGATGCTAGTAGTATAGTGTAATTGATCTTTGAGTAATTGGGTATGACTTCTAATATATTATGTATACTACTAGTATAAATGGTAATAATTTAGTGTAGCATGTTGGTATATATCTATATAGTATACTATCGTCAATAAATGACCCAATTATAATATTAATATGTATACGCATATTTGTATAACTATTTTGCTAGTATTATATATAATGGTTATCATGATTATAGTACTATATAATTATTAACTATAATATATTATATGATTGGCTATATCGCTTATATGTATTGGCTGTTATGATTTATTGTCTTTTTATATGTATATATATGTATATGTATGATATATAGTATATTTATATTATATAGTATGTATATATAGTTATATATTTATATACTCGTATTGAGTATGGATATTATATAGTAGTAATAGAAAAAATAAAAAATTAAAAAACATATATGAGTCTTATATATTAGTTAGTAGGGCTATATGGTGTATATGATTTTGGGTAGTGGTGTGTAGGGAGTAATCTATATGAGGGTGTATATAATAAATATACTGTATTATATTAGTAGTGTATATAGGGTATTAGCTGATAACTATTATACGCTATACCACTGACCGGGAAGTATTTATTACCATACTACATATATTTATTTGCGATGTACATACTTATGTTTACGGCAATACTGTTGAGCATAAGAATTTATATTTAGAGTGTGGGTTTATTTGTAGTATATATATAGGGGTGGTATATTAGTATATTAGGTATTATGTGTAGGAGTTATATTACATATTCGATTTATATTACTTATATATGTGGGTATATTGCATATATTATGCATATTATATAGTGTGGGGATAGTAGTCGTATAAGTATATATTAAATGTAATATATTACACCACAGCGTGATATAGTGTGATTTACTTAATATCGCTGATGTATTTTGGTAATATATAGGTATATATTACTTAACATATTAGACAGTAATATATAT